TCCGAGCCTGGTGTCACTGGCAGAATTCGGGGTTTTTTGATCATGGGTCAGTCTACACAACACCAGGCCTGCTGGCGACAGATGCGGTACACCTGTCTCAAAGGGGAAAAAGGATCTCTGCACAGGAGTTAGCAGGGCTCATTGAAAGTGCTTTAAACTAGATTTGAAGGGGGAAAAGGATAAAACCAGGCTTGTTAGCCATAAGCCTCAGGGCAGCAGGCCAATGTTTGAGGGTCGGTGTGCTAGCGAGGTCCTTTGATCTGCCATCTCAGTGGAGGTAGGTGATGGAGATCCATGTGGCAGCAAAGACAGAAGGGCTATGGATGTGTTAGAAACCATGGAAGTGTCTGAGAATGGTCACGTAGGAATTAGGGCTTCTTCCTAGATCAATAGCCCAATGAAGCGCATCTACAAAAATGCATGCAGCATGGGCAACAAACAGGAGGAGCTGGGAGCCACTGTGCAGCAGGAAAACTATGATATAGTTGCCATCACGGAAACAAGGTGGGATGACTTGCACAACTGGAATGCTGCAATAGATGGCTATAAACTCTTCAGAAAGGATAGGCAGGGAAGGAGAGGTGGTGGGGTAGCCCTGTACATTAGGGAGTGTTTTGATTGTCTGCAGCTTAACGATGGTGATGATAGGGTTGTGTTTATTGGTAAGAATCAGGGAGAAGGCCAACAAGGCAGATATCATGATGGGAGTCTGTTATAGACCACTCAACTAGGATGAAGAGGCAGACGAAATATTCTATAAGCAGCTGGGAAAAGTCTCATAATCACTAGACCTTGTTGTCATGGGGGACTTCAACTTACCAGTTGTCTGCTGGAAATACAATACAGCAGAAAGGAAACAGTCTAGGAGGTTCCTGGAGTGTGTGGAACATAACTTCCTAACACAGCTGGTGAGAGAACCAACTAGGGAAGGCGCCCCACTGGACCTGTTGTTTGCAAACAGAGAAGGACCGGTGGGTGATGAGACGGTTGGAGGCCATCTTGGGCATAGTGATCAAGAAATGAGAAAGTTTTCGATTCTTGGAGAAGTAAGGAGGGGGTCAGCAGAACTGCCACCTTGGACTTCTGGAGGGCAGATTTTGGCCTGTTTAGGAGACTGGTTGACAAGAGTCCCTTGGGAGGCAGTCCTGCAGGGCAAAGGAGTCAGGAAGGCTGGATGTTCTTCAAGAAGAAAATCTTAAAGGTGCAGGATCAGGCTGTCTCCATGTGCTGAAAGATGAGCCGGTGGGGAAGAAGACCAGCCTGGCTGAACAGAGAGCTTTGGCTGGAAATCAGGAAAAAAAAGAGAGTTTATGACCTTGGAAAGAAGGGGCAGGCAACTCAGGAGGACTACAAGGATGTCATGAGGTTATGCAGGGAGAAAATTAGAAGGGCCAAAGCCCAACTAGAGCTTAATCTGGCAGTGTGCCCAGGTAGCCAAGACGGCCAACAGTATCCTGGCTTGTATCAGGAATAGTGTGGCCA